GCAATTTAAAAACAAATTCTAACTCTCGATTGCAAGAGAATGATCAGTCACATATATGTTCTGAAACTAATTGTTTCTAAAACGTGATAACACCCTGTTTGTCAGTTTGAATGAGCGAGTAAATGATCTCAGTATTAGCAAGTATATCAAGAGTACAGTGGAAGACAATAAACTGGGGATGTAATACACGTTTTATAAATAGAATTTTGTATAAACCAAAAATGGTTGTTCAAATTCAAATTCAAAAATGATATCATGACATCATCGTCAGTTCCAATTATATGAATGAGTCAGTTCAACATCATCCAATCAGAAAGTGCTTTACACAATTTTTTTTTGTTTTTGTTTTTGAATAACTGGAATAACTTTTGAATAACGGTCACAGTTGCTATGTCATTTGAAGGCTTGTGAATGCATTATTGGCGTAGACAATGTGGAGTTTTTGAGCCAAACATAAACGTAGCAATCGCCATTGGTGAGTTGAGTCTAAATTTACTTTTCCCAAAACCTTTAAAAAAATTCTTTGTATGACGCAGTTTTTCGCGATCCCCGGTGAAATGAACCGTGCCAAGTTCAACGCTATTCTAATTTAGTTAAACGACTCGATTGAAATGGGCCGTAATATTTTGCTACGCAACGGCTGTTCGCCGTTTTTACTACTCATTCGCTCAATTGCCAGTTACACAGTTTTGAAATGAAGTCGCATTGGAAAGGACATTATTGTAAATCGAGGCAGGTTTCATTCAACTACAGACGAGACGGGCCGATAAAAATGAGACGAACCCTGACTTCAGGTAATAGCTCATTCATACCACAGACTGCCGGGCACGGCCATACAACGTTTGCGACATCGCCACCGGTGCATGCTGATTAAGCAAGGTAACCAAGATGGCATCGCAGAGTGCTTGATTTTTACGCGGTGTTTGAAAACAGCATCTCGTTGCCGATTTTTTTTTAATTTCCAGGGTATTTATTTTTTATTTTTAATTAACCGAACATTTTACGTTTGTGTATTTTGACACTGAAAAGTTAGTTACCGTTGATAGAAACAGCAGTGGTAGAATGCTATCAGCACGGTGATCAGCGATTTTTTTTTTACTTCAGTGTTTAAATGCCTTTGGGGAAAAACATTGTTTCGCCCACAATGCAAGACACTTGAAATCTATACACCAAGAGAACAAAAGAAAGTTGTGGCATTATTTTGCGCGTGGATTAAATCGCGCTATCAGGCCTTCCTAATAAATAAAAGCAAACAAGCAAACCAATGGCATGACTACTTTGAAAAACTCTTTTCTTGTGCACCTTTAAGTAATGAATTCGTCGATCAAAGCAAAATGTTAAGTTACTTGGAATCTGTGAATGAATTTAGTTATGCAAATGAAAGAGACTGGGACATGTTAAATGGCCCAATTACTGAAATAGAAATAATTGAGAGCATCAAACGGCTCAAGAATGATAAATCACCAGGACCTTATGGTTTGCTGGAGAGTATTTTAAATCTTCTGTGAATATACTATTGCCTTATCTACACGTCTTGTTCAATAAGATCTTTGATTCTCAGACTGGCGAAATGCCAACAGACTGGTCAAATGCAATCATTATATCTATATATAACAAGGGGTCGAGGGTTGATCCAGGGAGCTATAGGGCAATTTCACTACTTGATATTTTTGGGACAATTTTTACGTCAATTCTTAATGTACGTTTAAACTTTTGGTCTGATGCTTTGGGGAAAATAAACAGGCGGGTTTTCGTCATAGATATTCGACAACTGACAACATATTTATCCTTCTATTCAAAAATATATAACCAAGAAGCGGGGAAAATTATACTGCGCCTTCGTGGATTTCTCCAAAGCATTTGATAATGTAGAGAGACAACGTCTTTGGTATGTCCTACTTAAAGGGGGAGTAAATGGAAAGATGCTTAAGGTATTACGTAATACCTATGCAAAAGTAAAATCATGTGTCAAAACTTTAACCGGATATACTGAATACTTTTCGCGTCCTATGTGTGTTCGCCAGTGTTGTATGTTAAGCCCATTCCTGTTCTCCTTCTTTATCAATGAATTATGTAATGAGCTGAATAATTCAGGAGCAACACGGTGTTTAATTATCTCCTGAGTTAATTGAATTATTCTGTCTTCTATTTGCGGATGACGTGTCAATTATATTTGATTCAGTTGTCGGATTCCAGAGGTTACTAGATAAACTAGAATTGTATTGTGAGCGCTGGAGTATGTCTGTAAACTTGGATAAGACCAAAATTATTGTTTTCAAGGGCGGGGGACATTTATCAAGGAACGAAAAGTGGGTTTATGGAGGGATGGAGGTCCACACCGTTTCATACTACAAATATCTTGCAATTATGTTCTCCTGTAGACTACACTGTTCAATGACAACAAAACTATTGGCACAGCAAGCGAAAAAAACTTTATTTTGTTCATTTAAAGCTCTAAATTGTTTACGCCCTCTATCCTACAGAACCTACTTTAAGGTCTTTGATACAATGATATTACCAATACTAACGTATGGGGCGGAAATCTGGGGTTTTAGAGAGTGTAAATATCTGGAATGAGTCCAATATCTTGCCTGTAGATTGTTTCTTGGTGTTTCGAATAGATCACCAAATAGTAGTATTCTAGGAGAATGTGGAAGATATCCTATCTATCTGTACTCAGCGAAACGCTGCATTAAATATTGGGCAAAATTAATTTCCATGCCAAATTCAAGGTACCCTAAGAAATGTTACAATATGCCATACAATATCAAAAAGTCGGGAACCAGAACAAAACACACCTGGGTCAGTGACATGTAAAATTTACTTTCCATTTGTAATATGAATGATGCTTGGCATGCACAAGAAGTTGGAAATGTTAATGTTTTCATAAATACATTTGTGGAACGATTCAAACAGTATCTTTCTTTGGTATGGCGGGCTGACTCGTGTACTTTAGACAAGTTAGATACTTACTGCCAATTTAAAAC